CGCCCGCCTCACCCGCCCCCTCCCCGTCCCCCCGCAACGAGTCCCCCCGCTCCTCAGCCTCCGCCTCCGCCGAAGAGCCCAACGTCCTCGACTTCAGCACCAAGCGACCCTCCGGGACGCCCCCGCCCCAGCCCGGGCCCCACCTCCTCAAGATCCCGGCCACGGTCGAAGTTCCTCTCAATAGTCCTTTAGATTTATCAGTTTCCAGTAGAAAAAGAAGTCACGGCGACGACTCGTCGCCGGCCTCGTCTCCTAGTCCGCAACCAAAAAAGATCCCGATGGACTTCAAGCAAGTGCCGTGGACGCCGCCGCCCGGGGTCCCGCCTCACTTCCCCTACTTCGCCGCCGCCATGGCGGCCGCCAGCAGTCTTTCACCCAAGAGCAATTCCTCCGCCGCCGAGACCTTCCCCTGGAACGGGAAGACCAAATCTCAGGAGCCCCGCTCCGCGCCCAGCGACGCCTCCAAGGCCCTCGAGAAGATGAGCGAGCTTAGCAAATTGGGCGGCGACGAGTTCCGCTCCTCCTTCAACAACAACAGCAGTAGCGTCAACAATAACAATAGTCACATAGGTTCAAGCGGGCGGCATAGCGCCTGGCAGTCGCACTGGCTCAACAAGGGCGCCGAGCAGGCCAAGGACGTGCTGAAGTGCGTGTGGTGCAAGCAGAGCTTCCCGAGTCTGGCGGCCATGACGACGCACATGAAGGAGGCCAAGCACTGCGGTGTCAACGTTCCTATCCCCCAGATCCAACCGCCGCTTCCAGCGCCGCCCCAACAGGCGCCGCCCTCCGGGGCCTCCAACAACATCAACTCACCGCCGTCGGCCGCCAACAGCAAGCCCAACTCTTCCGACTTGAACCTCATCATCAAGGAAACCATGCCCCTCCCGAGGAAGCTCGTGAGGGGGCAGGATGTATGGCTCGGAAAAGGCGCCGAACAAACTAGGCAGATCCTGAAGTGCATGTGGTGCGGGCAGAGCTTCCGGTCACTCGCCGAGATGACTAGTCATATGCAGCAAACGCAACACTACACGAACATAATCTCCCAGGAGCAGATTATCTCCTGGAAGAGCGCCGACGAAGGCAAGTCCGGTGGAAGCGGGAGCAGCGGCGGGGTGAGCAGCTCGGCCGCCGGTGGCGCCTCGAGTGTAACCAGTAGTCACGTGAGCGCGGTGCTCACCTGCAAAGTATGTGATCAAGCCTTTAGTTCGTTGAAAGACCTTAGCAATCATATGGTGAAGAACTCCCACTACAAGGAGCACATCATGAGGTCGATCACGGAGAGCGGCGGCCGGCGACGGCAGACGAGGGAGAAGCGGAAAAAGTCGCTGCCCGTCCGGAAGCTGCTCGAGCTGGAGCGAGCGCAGAACGACATGAAGAACGGCGAGAGCTTCATGATGCTCGGCAAGCACAACCGGGAGATCCACGCCGCCAGTCGGATAACCTGCGAGAAGTGCGGGGAGAAGATCGACATGGCCGTCTTCGTCGACCATATCCGGTTGTGCATCGGGAGCGGCGCCATCAGCAGCGACCACAGGAATCTGCTGAAGAACGCCCTGCTGTCGAGCAACATGCATACCTCGGAGAATCCCCCCAGCGTGACGCAGACGCTCCGGGAAAGCCGCAAGATCAAAAAGGACTACGTGAATCTCCCGTCCGTGTCGCCCCCGGCCGCCGCGTCGGACCTCTCGATCAACTCGGAGCCGAAAGCAAGCAATAAACAGTCGGACGGCAAGAACTCCACCTCGCCGTCCGTCCTCAACGCCATCGAGAAGCTCATAGAAAAAAGTTTCGACTCGCGAGGCAGGCATGGTGGTGCTAGTGGTGGCGCCAATTTCAACCCCAACGCCAGTCCTGGCAACGCTCCCATCGGTTCCAGCATCCTCAAGAGGCTAGGCATCGACGAAAGCGTCGACTACACGAAGCCCCTCGTCGACGCGCAAACTATCAACCTTCTTCGATCGTATCACCACCATCAACAAGCCAACTGCGGGCGCAGGGAAAGAAGTGGCAGCGAATCGAGCTCTGTGTCAGATAGGGGTCTGTCCAGGCACGACTCTCTCACGCCCGAGAAGAAATTCGACTCTCCGGAGAAGCTATCGACATCGTCCGCGAGGGCGACGCCGGAGAACGTCGGCGCCATGTCTCCACCCGAAGACGCCTCGGTCGATCTCAAGATCAAGCGGGAACCGGAAGAGGAGGCCGGGGTACCACTCCCGAGCTCCAACCGGAAACGCAACCACGTGGACGTCAAAGCGGAGATCAAGGAAGAGGATGAAGTGAGCGTGAAGGAAGAGCGGGATAGGATGGAGAGTCCGGAGAACTCGGAGAACCGGGACCCGCAGAGGCGGATGAGCGAGGAGTCGTTGGTGACGACGAGTAGTGTCAAAGCCGAGGACGATGAAGAACCCAGGAAGGAGAGCAGTGAGAGCCCAGCGTCTAGTCCAAAACCGGCTCCGGAGAGCCCCTGCCGGAACTCGGCCAGCCCGGCGAGCAGCGATCGTTCGGTGACGTCCCGGTCGGATAAGAAGTCGAGCGGGAGTCTAGGTGCTTTATCGTCCATGTTCGACAACCTCTCGGGCGGGAACGCCAATTCCTCCGAGCCGACGACGACCTCCGGGAAAGGGACGAGTCACCCTCTGGCGGCCCTCCAGAAGCTCTGCGACAAGACTGAGACCCACCACCCGCCGCCGCGGCCGAGCCTCGCGGCGCCGCACGGCTCGACGCCCGTTCCGCTGACGACGACCTCGACGAGCAACACCCCGGGTGCTATCCTGGCCTTCAGCTGGGCCTGCAACGACGCCGTCGTCAACTCGGACTCCATCATGAAGTGCGCCTTCTGCGACACGCCGTTCATCTCCAAGGGCGCCTACAGGCATCACCTCTCCAAGATGCACTTCGTCAAGGACGGGGTCATCCCCGACCCGGTCGCCCTCAAGTCACCCTCGACGCCCCCGAGCAAGTCGAGTAGCTCCTCGGTGGCGTCCACGTCGGCCGCCAGGAGCCCCACGCAACAGAACAACTTCGAGGAAAGCCCCCATTCTAAATTTCTAAAGTATACCGAGTTAGCGAAGCAATTATCTAGTAAATACGTTTGAATGAAACGCCACGCAATCTTTCTCTCTCTCCCTCCCGAGCTCTCTGTACATACGTTGCAAATACTAATCTGTGAATATCTCACTTTAACTTCTCAACTTTCCGCTCCCTCCGTCGTAGCTTATCAACCCCCGTCTTTTCGATAGTTTCTCTGCGCTTCTATTTACCGTAGGAGTTGATCTCTCCTCTCAAAATTACCTTTCTTCTTACATGGCCGTGCCAATGGAGAACGCCGTATGAACACTTGCATGTTGCCAAATTTCACCTGAAAAAATCGTTTTTTTGAGAAATATTATGAGACTTTTAATTGATATTCTTAGAAAATATCACGGGGAAAATTCGATGAGAAATTTGAAAAAAATTCTGACTTATTTTCTCGAGAGTTTGTGATTCGACGAAGGAAGTTTGGCAACCTCTGAAGGCTCATACGGATTTCTCCCTTACCACGACAGTACACCTGCCACTAATTCTGTGTTTTTCAGTTAAAGAATAATTTCTCTCTTCTTATCTCTAAGTTGTGCAATGCTATTGTAAGTTAATATTCTGAAAACCTAATGATTTAACTTCAAGAACGAAAAAAAATGATGACTGAATAAGATGACATTTCAGTAATAAACCATCGAATTTAGTTTTGATCTAGTTTGTATTCTCTACTTGTTCCAGTTAAACATGACGAAAATAATGTTTTTCCTTGTTCACCTGATATGGATAGGCATGAATGAGTGGATGGAACAAGGCACGTATTTTCTCCTTTGGAGACGGGATTTTGGTTTCATGACTTAAAATAGTGGTTTATTTAAATAGTTTTTATTTTTATATCCCTCTAAATTTGTCAACTCATCACCGCCTTTTCATGCGGATTCTTATTGGGGTGAAAATTCATGGAAATTAAACACTCATTATTACTCATCTCTATCCACCATAACTCCACTGTTATGAATATGATGACGTAGCCTTCCATCTCAATATTATTGGCTTTATCTCTGTAAATGGAATGACTTGAATGGAATGAATATGATGGTAATTTTTAGATGGTGGGAGTACATTGAAGATACTAAAACGTATACCATTTATTTTTAATTGATTGTAGCAATTTTAAATCAAATAAAATTACCTGATTTCCAATGTGATGCAAAAGAATATTTTCATATTTTGCCCCATTTATTATTGTTGTTGATGTGTTTTTTCGTTCCCAACTTTTTTGTTTAGTTTTTCTTACTTTTGTAATATACAGGTTTTTTCGCCGTATTTTTCTCATGAAACATTATTCACAAGCAAAACTCATCAGTAATATCCAGTTCTAACACTGTCTTCTTTGTTCAAAGTTTCTTTCCCTCCCGCCTCGCTCTCTCTCTTTTCTTTCTTATGTAAGCGATACGAATTCTATTTTCAAGTTAATTGTCCAAATAACTCACCTAAGTAGCAGTCAGCCATTAAATAAACTGACAGTTATTTTCTTTTTTTCATTGATTTGAATAAAAGTTAACCCTCTCTGACGTTTGTGACAAAATGCATAATTTCAATACTTGCACCGCAATTCAGTCCACGTTGTTACTAAATTTATTTTGAAGTTCATCTACTCTAATAAACTTCATATAGAATTTTAGATTCGAGTATGAACTTTCCCATAACAAGGCCAAATTATAATGATAGGTCAAAACCTTCATAAATTGAGAAAAAAGTGAAAAAATTATTTTAAATGAGAAGAAACTTAAGCTCTCTCCATCTATTAAAAGCTCATCGTTTATTTTAATACGAGACGCTTGACATGTAGTTTACATTGCAATGAACCATTTTCCAGAAGTCTATACTTTTAACTGTTTTGTATTTTATTTTCTTTTAATTTACGAAACGGAGATTAATTAAGGTTCCCACTCTCAATTGCGCATGGTCTAATTTGACTGTACTTGGACTCCTTGGTTGTATGTTATTACTTAAATTCCAAGTCCTAAGCTCAATTTATAGGTACTTATTTAATTTCTATATTTTTTTACCCATAGCAATGATGTTCATAAGTCCCAAAAAAGTATACGTCTTTTTTTAAACCTTTGCCGAAGTCATGTTTCCTTAATGAAAATTGTGTTTACCATAATAGTTGATTTCCTTGATGTGAAAGAAATACTTGAAGAAATTAGACATTCTACTATTCTGCTTTGTAATTAGTTGGGTGGGCTGATAACCTTCAAGTGTAACTCTGTAATATCTGTACATAGTCCCTTCTTCTCCCACAGTTCAGCAACGTTGGAGAGATCTGTCTACTCAGGCCTCTTAAATTTTTTGATTATGATATTGATTACTACAAGAATGTGATTCTACAATGTTAAACGATGATATTTCACAATGTATACGTCAAACCTTAGAGTCAATTATCCCTGCAGTATTGCTTCTTGATAAGTGAAAACATTGATAATTAAAATTATCAATTTAGGAAAGGCCTCAGCCAAGCGGAATTAACTGGACGTATTTCTGCCAAACGGAACCATGTGCATTTAGACATGAGCCCTAAGACTTTGAAAATATAATGCACAACAGGGCTCACGTCATAATGCACATACTTCCATTTGGCAGAAATATGTCCAACTGATCAATCTACTGAGGATCCTGTATTTTTCTTTGTTGTGTCTCAGCCCACTAAACTCATGCAAGACTCTTTAAAAAAATATTGTTTTCCGTCATCATTAACACAAGTCCGCAGTATCTAATTTTTTTCCATAATTGTCATTATTTTTGTATTTAATATGAATGTATTTTATCCAAGTTTGGTAAATAAGAGCCCACCGCTAGTGTTCCTCAAAAGGGTCTCCCTACAAAAGGAAACTCCAGTAACTTCGAATCTTCTTGGATTCCATTCAATCCAAGTAAAAATGATAGATTACTCGCAAGTTTCTCACGCACTTTTTTCTTCCTCACAACCCTTTTGTCAAGAGACATTATAAAAATGGCCGATTGCGCACAAAAAACAAAGTAGTTCTTCCTCATCATGACATCAAGACCTAAGATTATGCTTCCACCCAAGTATGATATAATAAATGGGTGCTTTGATTTTATCCAATCCTCGGGATACTTAAAGACTTTTTGTTAAAAAGAAATTCAAAGGACAATTTAGAACCTTGGAACTCTATCTTAATGTTAAATTTCTAGATGGTACTTTTGACTTTGTCACTTTCATACATTCCTTTCTGAACTATGTTCAAACATGATTGTATACGACTCTCTTAGAAAGTCTTCTCTTGCTTCATTGTGAGGCAAACATGTATTAAACTCTAATAACGTTGCTGTAAGCAATATTGTATGTTATCGGTGTACTTATAAAATCTGCATGTGCCAACTAGTACTCAATGCGTTCTGAAGAGAATTTTGTTTCTCTCTCTTCACTAAAGTGTGTTGCATTAAAGTTAAAGCTAGGAGGATATGTTTACATTATTTTTGCTTCGAAATAAAAAGCAAAGAAATAGGCGGGTTGATTAGTGGGAAAAAACTGCAGAATATTCATCCCAAAATTCTCCTGAAAAGTTGACGGAAAGTTTGTAAACTGGAAGTTCGTAAAAAATACCCAAAATAAAGTGAAGTCCACAGCCAAATATCATGCATATATTCAACATTCAATAGATAGAAAATCCGTACACGTCATCAATTTGTTGACGTCACGTATTTCAAGAACGTTAAAAATACATATGGACGTTACTATTTGACTTAGGGAGTTTCTATCCAAAATGTTACTTCGGTTATCTCAAATTTAGGTTTCCTTTAAAACTTTCAAACAGTAGGTCAGGCACAGCTCTCTACTTGATATTTTTAGAGGCGATATCGCATGAAAAGATGGAACCTCGTTGAATGTTTCTTTGAAAGCTGACAATCAGTTACCGAATCAAACCGTCACGCTTTCTGTGCAAGTCTTAGTTTGAAAACAAGTTGGTTATTGATCAAGAAAACAAGGGAGAATATGAAAAAAATATTCCGTTGTGCAAAAGAGGAACCAGAAATGATGAAGCTCCTTTCCTGGAAACAAATCAGTTTTTGTGCTAGAAAAGAAAACTTTGAACGATGGCGGGTACTTACGCTCTGTTCGTGGTGTTAAAAGAGAATCATGCAATATTCTCTCAAATAAAATTCTAGTCTCTTCCTAATATACTTACGGCGATCAGAGGTATAGATTTCCTCTCTGCTCGCGAGGTGTTAGTTTATTTATGAATTTGTTCATCTTTTCTCCAATCAAAAGTGATTAGATGCTAATAGTAAACCTCGTCGCTCCACTGACATAAGCACCTAACCACATTTTGAGATGAGGCATTGTGTTCGTCCGTGGAAGCTCGCAAGTTGACAGTGGTGAGTTTGTTCCATTTGATTTAGTGTGAAAAATCGATATCTATCGAGGCAGGCCGCCTCGACTATAATCGATTATTCGCATCAATTTAAATGGAGGGAAAAACAATGTAATTGTGACGATAGTCACTATGTCCGTATAACTCTATCATAACGACTTTTAAGTCAGCGGAGCTATGAGGTGTTCTCCTTGTAGGGCAGTTTTGGACCTTTATTTTGCTTTAAATTTTCGTTACGCATTAAAGTACCTACTGTAACTCCTTAGTTTTGGCTATTTTTGATGACGGGTTTGATGGAAGCTACTGAATTTCAGGTGTTCTAGTTTTTTTCCTACACGACTGGAACATCGCTGCCATCAACTCCATCATCACTCTGTGTCCGGTCGACTAGGCTCCAGTGAGAATTTATACGATAAAATCATAAATACCAGTGTTATTTAGCACATAAGGATCTCTTATAGGGTTGGGTTATCATTATTTTTAAGACTCAAGCATGGATGTATCCCTTCGATTTTAAGTTGTCAATTTCAATGATAACGGCCCCTTATTCCAGTGGTACTTATAACTGCGATTCAGTAACTTTGCCGAGGAGTAGAACATTTTCAACAAGAAGGTCTCTCAGATAATAACTTTTGTCACAATAGTTTATTTGCCGTTCAAAGGCTGTGAAAAATATAATTACTGATAGAGCAAGAAGACTCTTTCTTAAGTTTTTCTAATGTTGAGGAATATATCTGCCCACTTTTTGAATACACATGGAACAATCCCTAAAGTTTCTAAGTTCTTAATGTCTAAATTTTCCAATTATGTTCACAAATGACATGTTGGGAGATCGGATTCCTAATTAATTCGTGGTTGCTGTATTTACGTGCGCGTACGAAGTATAATATTTTGATACTCGTGTGATGAGTCTATACTGTCTTATGAACAGGTTCTAAGTATACGAATTAAGGTTAATAATGATAATCCAACCCATTTTTGTAGTTAAGAACTACGTCTCTGTATACGATGATTGTACATAGTAACTTTTTGTAATTTTTCAGCCTAAAAATTTCAATTTAAAATACCAAGACTAATTAGTTTATTTTTTAAAATATTTTGTATCATAACTGAAGCTGTACTATTATAAATACTTTTGTATTATTACTGTCGCAAATTTACTCATATTTTGTTAGGTACTTCATTGAATTTTATGTATTTATGTACAAAATTAAATTAAATAGGTCAAAAAGAGGCAAGTTGAACTCGACAATTAGTATTGTTCAAACGTTTGTGATGCAGTCCGCGTATTAATTTTAGTTGATCATGTTGTTTCTTTCCTCTTTACATTTTGTAAAATAATGGATCTAATCCACTCTTTTTCGCGGAGGAAGTCAATGTTGATGGTACTCTTGGTATGTTTTGATCGAATATTCTTCTTTTTCAAAAGATGCTCATTTTCATAAATTGGTATACATGATACCAAATTTTAATGTTTAAGACATATTAGGTAATAAATTCATGGATAAACACAATGTATACTTCAATGACTCATAAAACAATAAAAATATTACTATTGTTTAATTTTTCTCCTTTATTTGAGATTATTTCCGCCACATCATCCTTTTAAATTGATGAATTTTCTTACTTTCTACAGAAAAAATCATTAGTTTCTGGAATCAGAAGAAATCCATTCGCATTCATCAAAATTTTCTTGCACTCTGTATAGAAAAATTTTATTCATTTTTCAAGTGAAGTTTCTTCACATTTTTTTTGTTCTTTATTTTGTAAAAAAAACCGAAAATGTACTGAAAAAAAACAGCAATGACCACAAACAAATAAATTGAATATATTACTCTTTTCTTTATCACGGCACCGTATGAAATCAAAACAAGAAAGTGATATCTTGGGATCAGCAAAAAATCCGTTCAAGTTGTAATTGGACGTATTATGCTAAAAGGAACTATGAGCACAGGACTTGTGTGCAACATAGTTCCATTTAGCATAAATACGTCTAATTAAGGATCCTTATAGATAGGAAAAAACTCGAAGTCATCTCTCGAAAACTTCCCTGTCTTTGCTCCTGTGCGCCAAAAAGATTCAGTGAAGTTTTAAGAAAAATAGTGTCAGTTTGTTATTTTTTTTTTATATAAATTGAGAGCAGAGATTTTGAAGCACCTCAAACGAGACACTTGTCTTTGCGGCTACAATTCCGACATCGATGCCTGAAGTGAGAAACCACGTATCTTCATCGCGGTGTTCCAAAATCTCTGCTCCCGTTTTAAATTTTCGAAGAGACACAAGTCAGCTATATAACTGGACGTTTTCACGGAATATTCTATTTATAAAGAAGAGAGATTAAGGAAGTTTTTAGGAAATTAAGTTGACTACAAAGAGAGAAAAACCAACACAAATGTTTGGTTAATATGGGAAGTGAAACCCAGAATACCCCTAGCCTTCGGTTGACAGTCTCGAGAGAAAATGTCAGCTAGGTTTTTCGAAGAAATTAAATTTAAAAAAAAAAAAAACGAGTGGTGAATACCAACGACCAACGTCACAATCTGAGGAATACATTTTACCAGTCTCTCTATTGTTTTCTGCTCTAAATTCACCGAAACATGTACGAAAATCAACACACGACTTGTGTTAATTCGCGTTTGACTTCCCATATTAACCAAGAGTAACACAAGAACACAAATATTTTTATCGGTGTAGTTTTCCAATGATGAAATAAAGTATGACAGGAAGTCTGCAACGTTGCAAACTGAGATACGTAGTTTCGAACTTTGGCCGTCGATGTAATGATCACGTCGATACAAAATAATTCAACGTACTTTTGCTAATCAATTTTTTCTCAAAAAATATTTAGCAACTGAATCCTTCTTACTGAATCATGTCGAAAGTAGTCAGCAATCGCTAGCAATTTGCAAGCGGCATAAGCATTAACTCGTCAAACTGCAATAATGTGTATCAATACATGAAATTTTTCATTGAAAAAGAAATTCATGAATGCGAGCTTGGCGCGGGGCGCCTTCCAACCTCGTTGATACTCTCCGCCTTACCAGAGAGTTAGTTTAGTTGCCTATCCGAACCAAACCCAACTAAGCTCACTGCTTTTCACAACACGCACTTGCAAGTGTCCTCGTTGGTACAGTGTAATGAAGAAGAGAAATACGCTTCTTTAAATGCCAAGCGTATAAATCAGTACTTTTTACTCTTATCTTGTATCTTAACCTCTGAATTTTTACATTTTTGTATTCAGCATATACAGATTGTAATTTGCCGGCGATTGCTAATTGCCTGCGACGTATACATTCATCGACTTTGCAAAACTCTTTGAATTACAAAAATGAGCCCCATAGTATGGAGCTCATTTCAAAGCTTGACATTACTATACGTTATTTTCAATATAATATCATTTTCAAACCCGCATCACACTCAAAACACGAAATATTTGGAAAAATAACTCAAAATTAGGCTGGGCTCAACCTACGAGTAAGCCGAAATCGAACCATTCTTAGACCCTCTCTCCACGGGGCGTTTCATGGGATTTGTCCCAGGGAAAAATCCCACTAATGAAGTCGGGAAAAATATTGAGTTAGTCAATACTGATCACAGAACCAATTAAAATTCCTTATGGAGTCCCAGGAGCGACTTCAAAAGAAGAAGAAGAAATTTTGTTGCGTTGTTTAACGGGAAAAAAGCCCAGAAGTTCCATTCCTGCGATTCGAACTTTTGAAAAATCCCGTGAAACGTCCCGTCGAGACAAGGCGTAATACTGCCGTGCTAAGGAAAAACGCCGTATGAACATTCAGGCGTTGCCAAATTTCCTTTCATAAAACGTGAATTTTATGGTAAACTTATGACTATTTTCTTCCCAATTTTTCAGATGATTTTGTTCGCAATTTCACCTAAAGATTCTGAAAATCCGAAGGAAAATATTCACAACTTTCCTCAAAAAAAAACAAAAAAAAAAACATTTTATCGAAGTAAATTTGGCAATTCTCGAATGTTCATACGGCGTTCATCCTTAGCACGGCAGAATAGGGGAATCGGATAATCAAGTCCGAAAAGCTCTTCAAGTTCAGCGGCAGTTTTGTAATGCTTTTCAACTGGTGCAAGGTTGGTTTAGGCTCTCCATGACTTAAGAAGAGGGGAGGGGATCTTGAGGACGCATTTTAAGGCACGCCTAGGAAGGATCAAGAGCAGGACCACCAAAAATTTTGAAAACATTTTGAATCTCATGCGTATAGTCGCTTCTTTGACGCGATGAAAGAGCGTATCTCCACTTCCATACGAGACCTGAGAAGCATGTAATGATATGGACAAGTCTGCCGTGCTGAGGGAAAACACAGTATGAGCCTTCAGACGTTGCCAAATTTCTTTTGATAAATCACGAATTTTCTGGTAAATCTATGAATTTTTTCTCACCAATTTTTTCAGATAATTTTGTGAGCAATTTTACATATAGTTCCTGAAAATTTCAAGAAAAAATATTCATAGCTTTTCTCAACGATGAACATTTTATCGAAGAAAATCTGGCAACTCTCGAATGCTCACACGCCGTTTTTCCTTAGCACGGCAGAATAGTTTGGTGATTGTTGAAATTCACGAGCAAAGCTATAGACAAAGAAGACAAAGAGAAAATGGAGCGATCCAGTGGCGCGGCGTGCTTTGCGATATATCGATTGCTGTGCCATTTAAACCTATGGAAAAGGATCGATAATCAGGGTGTTCGCAGCGAACACCTTAAAAATCGATTCTTTACCATAGGTTTAAATAGCACAACAATCGATATATCGAAAGCACGCCACGCCACTGGAGCGATCCTTTGGCTCCTGAGTATGTTTGTAGCTCATGCGGCGAAATTGAAGGCATACTTTAAGTTGACGAAATCTACTGCTACTGCCTTGCGTAGGAAAAACGCCTATGAAAATTCGAAGGTCGTCAGATTTCTCGTGATAAAATATGTATTTTTCAATAGATTTATCGTCGTTTCTCTGACGTAAGGGCATATTTTTATTTCGACATGAGCCCCAACAAGCATAGATTTATATATAAAACAGGGCTTTCATGGAAATTAAGGTATGCCCTTACGTCAAAAGAGAGACGTTATGAGTTCCTTGAAATTTTGAGATACTTTAAATCAAAGGTTGGCCGGAATACTCAGAAAATTACAAGAAAATACTCACAAATCTTCTTAAAATTTCGTATTTTATTTCGAGGGAAATTTGGCAACCTCTGAAGGCTCACATGGCGTTCTTTCTCAGCACAGCAGAGTGGATTTACACTTTGTCTATTGGCTCTCGAAGCTTTTGGAGGAAAATACATGGATATGGGTGTTTTTCGAAAAGATAACTATTTGCTTACTTCTAGCATGTGTGTGGCCTATGCGTTTAAATAGAGGACGAACCTCAATTTTAAGATATCTGCTAATACTGCCGTGCTAAGGAAGAACGCCGTATGAACATTTGGGAGTTGCCAAATTTCCTTTGATAAAATGTTTATTTTTGAGGAAAGTTACGAATATTTTTTCCGATAGATTTTCAAGAGCTGAGGGTGAAATTGCGGACAAAATTATCTGAAAAATTGGAAGGAAAATATTTATGAGTTTACCAGGGAGTTCGTGTTATATCAAAGGAAATATGGCAACGCCTGAAGGTCCATACGGCGTATTTCCTTACCATGGCAGAATAGGTGTGGACATTACGATGGCTAAGAAACAATACCGTCTATCTGCAAACGGACGATTTTGCCGCACGGAGAAGAAACTTTCCCGGTTTTGTAATTTTGTGGTTAGATTTGTATTTTTTTAATACATTACAGCGTCTTGTAAAGTAGGGACTTGATTGGCTAATTGATTCAACGGACCGATCAAGTCCCAACTTTGAACCTTTTCGATCTTCCATTTTGACAAGTGGAGAAAGCGCTTTAGTCCATAGGAACCAACCATTTCAGCCAATAGGATCGCTGCATACTCCCTCAATTTGTCTATCGCTTTGTTTATCAATTCCAACAATCAGCCCGCTGGCGTTATCTATGATACTTATCCAGCCACCGGCACCGGGCGGAAGTGGAGCGGGTGCATCGATTAGAAAATGTGACTGAGATCTAAGACGCGGATCAGGCGAGAGAACTGCATGACTGGGTTGCACTCCAGGGACGTGGTGCGTGGCTCCTTGCTCGTCGACGGTGCTTTAATAGGCGACGGCAAGTCATATTGGCCTTGTTGCTGTCTCGTGATTGGTCCACGCAGAGACGAGCGTCACAGGCTCGAGCCACAAATCGCCGCCATTATACGATGAGCCCGTGCACTGAGTACTGATAACTGAGAGAAGTTTCAGACGCCTTTATCACGCTGTGTTGCCGCTTTGCTCTCCAAAGGAAGGGTTTCGATAAGGGCTGTTTTGGGCCCACCTTGAAATTCCTCAATTTTATTGGACCGCGTTTAGGGAAACAAGCCACATCAGCTATTCCCTTTAACTGGGCAAATTAATTTTTTACGAGATAACGTTTGTGCGGTCTCCTTTGATAATTCTAGGGAATTTGCTTCGAGCTATGCAGGAAATGCACTAAGATTCACA